ACATACTGTACAAAGTCAAGGTGACAATTGGGTATCTTTGGAAAACACGTCTTTCTCCTATTGAGAATGAAGAAGAAAATTTCATATAAAATATGGCACACTTAGTAATTTGCATTATTTATTTAATATGCATGCACAAAGCAAGCCTAGAAATCAATGACTATGACTGTACGCATGTGTAATTAGTAAGATGGAGATTGAAGGCCACCTTGCAGTCAAATTCGAAGTTTTTAGAGCAATATACCACGTTACTTAAATCGGACAAGATTTTCAGATTACCTGATAGGTCGGGCCTTATATGTAATCACTGGGTTTGTCAAATAAACCAAATAAAATCTTAAATAAATAATACAACTCGTACAATTCATAGCTGAACAAGAAAATTCTTAACACTTACTTTAAAACGATAGTTATACAATGGATTTCTGCAGTATGTGTAAACAATGTAATTTACATATGTTGTACACGTCACATGAGACCCACATTGAACAAGACATGTTTTAAAGATTTATTACAGATGAATTTGAACACAAGATTTGTGTTGTGAGATAAATTAAGATATTAAGATTCATGTAGTAAGATGAAAATTACTAATGGGGTCGTCTAATAATTAATTTCTATAAATATAAATATGCTAAGAACGTTCATCTATTACAGCATATGTAAACATCAGTGTAGTGTAGTGGACTTAGATCATATCTATCATTCATATTTGCAGAAAATAAAAGAATACTCATTTTCTACCGGAGTCATGCAGTTATAAAAACATACAATGCTGTGTTTGTAAAAATGTGTTGGAGTTAAAATATAACCATTAGTATAACTGATTCAGTCATACTTTCTGCCAGCTATTATTTAAACTTGAAATTATATTTACAATATCATATTCAAAATTATATTCTTTCACTTTAAAAAAAAAATTATCTTCAAAATAAAGTATAAAACATTAAAAATTTAATTTTCATCTCCACTGGAAGGTTCAGCAGTACCCCCAACAAACCTTCTTGGGTTGGAGAAAAGATAAATGTAAAAATTACACACGCATCACAATACACACTGTACAGCTATTATCAACATCCTGAATTTTTGCTATGACAACATCAATAGCCAAAACACGACACTTAAGTTTTGTTGGTATAGCTAGACTACGAGTGAGCCCTTGTTTCAAGACTGGTAGAACCAGATATACAACATGGAGATTGGAATTTCATTATTCTCAGTTTATAATGTAATTCTGACTTGAGCAAAAATGGTCCCTGATATCTTGATGACAGCAAGAAGGCCACAAGACTAGTTTTTGTTGCATACAGTAAATAGTATTAAATTTATTCCTGTCATGAAATTTGAGATCAAAAACTAATCTCAGGGTTCTCTCGCTGTCACTATGAGATCACGGCAGCCATTTACGGCTAAGGTCTATTAAAAGTATCCAGAAAAATGAAAATAAACAAAAAACCCAATCAATCAAACAAAAAATATTGAAAAAGCAATTTGCATTTGTTTTTGGAATGTATATTATTAAATAAGCATTATTATAAGAAGTTATTTGTTTTTATAAAATATTTAATACACAACGTTATTTATATAATTACACACTTTCTATACAAAATTTGAGATTTTAGATTTTGGGGCTTTCTGAACATTTGATGAGAAAATTTGTTTCTAAGATGGTCACCATCATGAAAGCATCGAA